ACTGGAGTCCTTCTAACGACGGCCATGTGAAAGCAGAGACACACAGGGAGAATGCCACGTGACTACAAGGGCAGAGCCTGGAGCTGTGTGCCTGCAAACCCAGGAACACCAAGGATTGCCGGCATTCCATCAGAAGCTAGAAAGAGGCAAGGAAGGATTCTCCTCTACAGGTTTTAGCAGGAGTATGGCTCGGCCGACACCCTGAGTTCAGACTTGTGGCCTCCACGGCGGTGAGAGAATGCCTTTCTGTTGTTTGAGCCACACGGTTTGTGACCCTGTTGTGGCAGCCCTAGGAAACGAGCACAACTCACAACGCTGGGGCACTGGGCATTTAGTCCCCAGTCCATCCCCCCAAAGGGGCTTCCAGCAGGGGTGCTGCTTGGGGTGGGGTACGAATGGGCCACACTCCCACCTGAAGCCGAAGCCTGAGCCCTCTTGCCCTCTCCTCTGGAGGTGGCCCAGGTGAGTCTCTCTCAAAGCACCTGAATCACAACAGCTATTTACTTCCTTGGTGGAGGCAGAGAGACGTAAAAAAAGAACTTGGGCCTTAAAAACACAATACTGGCCTCTTCTTACTGGATTGGTGGGAGGGATAGAGAATTTATCACAATAATTAAAGGAAACCAATAATATGGGAAAAAAAAAGCCCAGTGAATTTTTTTTCCTTAATAGTTTACCTTATCATGTTAGTGTGCATTGTTTCCTATTCTGTGCTGACCCAAACACACTCTCAGTCACCTCAAACCTTGACTGAGAGAATGATCTGAGCACAGGGGGTGTAAGGGACACAGAGGTACAGGAAGTATGGCCCTCTCCCAGCATCCTCCACCGTGCAGTGACCGGCAATACCAGCATCCCACCGAGAGGAGGCAGGGGTGATGGAGGTACGGGAAGGACTATGAGCCACAAATGGGCACTGAGTGGCCAAGTGGCAAGGAGGTCACCTCTGCAGTGAGGAATAACTCACATACTGTCCTGTAACAAACCCCCTTTCCCAAACATGCTAGTGTAAGGAGGACTTAATCACTTGGGTTACATTTACACTTAAAGATAGACAAGGGACTGGGGCGCCTGGGTGTCTCAGCCAGTTAAGCATCTGCCTTTGGCTCAGGTCATGATCGCCGGGTCCTGGGATTGAGCCCCACATTGGGCTCCCTGCTCAGCGGGGAGTCTGCTTCTCCCTCTCCTGCTCCCCCTGCTTGTGCTCGCTCTTTCTCTCTCTCAAATAAATAAATAAAATCTTAAAAAAAAAAAAAAGATAGACAAGGGACTACCTGAAAGAATATGTTGAATGTTTGGAAATAGAGGTTTGTTTAAGGAATAGACAATTCCAAAGAGTTTGCCACTTTTCCAAAGGAAAAGAAATGGAAATATACAATATAATCAAAGATGCATAACAGCTTTAATAATAACAATAATAATTTTCCTGACTGTAAAAGATGGTAAAATTTTTAAATATATTTCCCAAAATCTGTGAAATCACTGTCCTTGATCTTTAAGAATTAGTTGTAGAGGGGGGCCTGGGTGGCTCAGTCGGTTAAGTCCCTGACTCTTGATTTCGGCTCAGGTCACAGTCTCAGGGTCATGAGTGCGAGCCCTGTGTCTGGTTCCACGCTCAGCGGGGAGTCTGCTTCCTCTCCCTCTGCTCCTCCCCTCCTTCTCTCTCTCGAATAAATAAACACCTCTTAAAAAAATAAAGAACTGGCTGTAAAACTGAGGAACTGAGAACCAATGGGTTACCATCCTGCTTACAACACGATGCTTAAACTCAGGGTAATTATGAGTATTTTAAGTCTAAAATAAATAAATACCTTGAAATAAATGAAAATATAGGCACAACCTTCCTATACTTAAGATGAAACAAAACCTTAAACAAGAAGACCATTTTTGTTTTGTTTTGCAGTCAAGATCAGTTCTTTCTTTCTCAGAAAATATACATTAAAAAAAACTCCTTGGCATTTCAGTACCCCCGTCCTGGGCTAGTACTTCCTTCCTGCTGACAACTTCTGCTAGTGTCACCCCCCCACCAGCTGGACAGGCTGCCCAGCTGGGGACCCATTTATTCTCTGACATTTACTTAACTCCTCTCTATATTACACATCCAGCGGCAAGTTGTTTGCCATAAAATACCTCAGAGGAGAGAAGAAGTATGTAAAAGGAAACATAATTAATAACTGTTGATAAATATTGATAATTGTTAAACTTGGGTGGTGGGTACATGACATGGGGGACACATTACGTTATTCTTTCTACCTCTGTGTATTTTTAAAATTTCCATAATAAAAGCTTAAGCAACAATAATAAAGTTGATGTCTGGTCTCTTTCCACAGGAGATTGCTTAATGCCAAGGGGCAATGAATATATTGAAAGTAATTAACACATTCTAATGAGTTATACACATGTTAACAGGCACCTTAATACCGTTAACTGTGCAAGTATGTGTCTAGAGGGCTTTTTGGAAGTGACTCCAATGTGAGGACTATTACAAAGAGCAGGCTGGAGAAGTCTGGAGAAAAGCACATTTTCTGAGAGGCTTAAATTAAATCATGATATGTAGGTCTTGAACTGGTTATGAGAGTGTCCTGAAAAATTCATCTAGTACTCACATTTTGAAGGGGAAAATTAGGAAATATCTTGTATTTCAATTACTGAAATAGCTATGACATTTCACGCCTAAGCACCTTTTTAGTGACTTGACCCTGGTGTGGTAACAAGGCCTACTTGATCGCCTGCAGTGGGGACGGCGTGTCGGGGTGGAGGGGCTTGGCAGGAAGTCAGCAGGAGCCCATCCCTCCCTGGGGCTCATCTAAGTCAGGCTGCTACGTGCCAGAAGAGGAGCTTTGCTTTGGCAGAGTATCTGAAAATGTCAGCATTATTCTTTTCTGAAACTATTTTTGCCTCTTACATTTTAATTATTCTAATTTTTGGAAAGCATCTGAATACGGTAAAGAATCTTTATTCTGTTATTTTGGCACTTGCTGTACTTACAGATTCCTGTTCCTAGTAAATTCTTTTTAGATTGCCTTAGAAAAATTAAACACAAATAATATGGGTAGTTCAAGTGAATTTAGTGTTTCTGAAAAGTAAGTGGGGTCTGCCTTACACAGCCTGAAGTTCTTGGTTCGTTTACAGAAAATGAGGGGAACTGCCTTGGAGCTCAGCTCATATCCTTGTATAAATGATGCTAAGACCAGGTCCAGTCTCAGACATTTTGAGACCAAGTCCGTTACTGGGTTAAATAATTCCTCCCAACGTGGCACTTGCCAGCCCTCCCCAGCCGCTCTGGCTTCCCCCCAAGCAGCACATTAGCTTGACCTGCCCAAACTCCCTCTTCTTTAACCACCACCTACCTTTTTAAATCACTTGCCCCTGCAACTCAAGGGGAACTCTCCGCTACCTCTCTTTTTTTTTTTTTTTAAAGATTTTATTTATTTATTTGAGAGAGAGAGAGAATGAGAGAGAGCACATGAGAGGGGGGAGGGTCAGAGGGAGAAGCAGACTCCCTGCCGAGCAGGGAGCCCGATGCGGGACTCGATCCAGGGACTCCAGGATCATGACCTGAGCCGAAGGCAGCCGCCCAACCAACTGAGCCACCCAGGCACCCTCCACTACCTCTCTTTTATCAACATTAGAGACGGTAGAAGATTCCAAATCTTTTAGTATTTTGGGTGGTTTTTAAAAAACAGTGCACTTTTATTTAATAAATCAACTATTTATTAGATAAATCAAAAGAATTTGGGGCACTTTTATACCAATTCAAAGTTGTAAAAATGCTTCTCATTATTTCTTCTAAATTAAAGCAAATAGCATTATATGTTTAAATGTTCTTTTAATGACTTGGATTGATCATTTTATTGCGCCTACGGGACTCAACTAGCCCAATTCTAGAATACTGGGCCAGGTAACTGTTATTAGAGGGGAGTCTGAGAAGGAAACAGATCCACCCTCTGGGCTGTGAACAAGACCAGGCTGTGGGCTACTGAGGGTTCAGTCAAGCAGGCTTGATGCAGCAGATAAAAGTTACCACAGTAAACAGTAAGTGGTAGCTCACACGTGTGGTTCCATAGGGAAGGGAGCTTTCACTGCAAAGTAACAGGAGTGCCAGTATATGTGGACAGAACACGGCAAGAAGGAATCCACGAGCAGTAACTAAATTGTTGATTAATAGGGGGTTAGCACAGGGAATGCCTTCGGGTAGTATGGCTTTCCTTCTCTTAAGAGAGACAGTGGTGAGAGTTTGTCAGGGCAGATCTTAGAGGGATTTTTGGATACAAATAATCAAAACCAGGATCCAGTTATCGAAACTTATCGAAACAATATGGTCTTAAAGCCCGCCCAGTCATTGCTCCTGAGATTCAAGGCCCCGATGCCCTAGTAATAGCAGCTTGAACGCTGTATCAATTTTCTACTGCTGCATAAGACATTACAAGACATTTAGTGGCTTAAATCAGCACACACTTATTATCCACAGCTTCCTTGGATTAGGAGTCTGGGCACCTGTTAGTTAGAGCCTCTGCTTAGGGTCTCACTAGACTGAAACTGAGGTGTCGGCTGGGGATGGGATCTTCTCTGAGTCTCAGAATCCTCCTCCAACCTCATTCACGTGGTTGGCAGAATTCAGAGCCTTGTGGCTGTAGAACTAAGGTCCTTGTGTTCTTGTTGGCTCCCAGCTGGGGACCACGCTCAGCTCCAAGAGGCTGAGCCTCTAGCATACGGCACCTTCCCAGCATAGCACCTTACTTCTTGGCAGCCAGCAGGAGACTCTTCCTCCAGTTGGCTACAGTGGAGTCTGTGACAATGGTAACATGACCACTAGAATCACTGTTCCAACACCTTTGCCATATAATGCAACCTAATCTAGAGAAGGACTATCTCATTATATTGACAGGTCCTACCTGCACTGGAGGGGGAGGGGCAGTGCACATACACCATGGGGAGGGAATCTTGGGGCCACTGTGGAATTCTGCCTACCACAAATACTGAATTATTCAACACTGAGCCAACATTCATTGAGTGTTTACTAAGAACCCAGCATTGTGCCACAACTGGGGATACAAAGCTGAACAAAGATAGATAAGGAAGTCCACAGATTAATGGAGGAGACAAAATTGACAATTCATTCTAAAACAAGTTACTACATTTGTAATAGTTGAATGCGGAAAGAACACAGAAAAGATAGTCAAGAAGGTGAGGTATAGATCAAAAGGTGTTTTTTAGACAGACAGTAAAGAAAAGGCATTTAAGGCAGAAAGCATGTTTATCTGTAAAGATGTAGAGATATTGGAAAGCCAGTTTGAGAGGCTTTGAGTGGTAGGTCTTGACTGGAATGGAGGAGGCCTGTGGAAGAGAGGCCCAAACAGAGGTCAAGGGCCAGACCAGGAAGGACACAGACTTAGGACTTCATCATGGGCAAGAACCACTGAAGGAATTTGTGAAGGGATATTAATAAGTTAAGGTCACAGAGGCCAAGATATACCAAAAAAAAGAAGTCCCTATAAAAATAAACATTTCAGCATAAACAAGCAGAATTGAAGAGCAAAATCTCATACAAATTGATAATAGAAAGACCAATATCCAAAAGAAAATGAGCAAGAGACAAGTAAAAGCAATTAATAGAGGAAATGAGGAAATGCAAAAGGCTGATGAACATAGGGAGAAGTGTTTAAGATCACTTGTGATTAAGAAATTGAAGATTAAAACAGTGAAATTTTGGCTATGAAATTATTAGGATAATGCCTATACAAAAAACATCTATACATACTTAAGACTATTGAAGGATAATTCACCAAAGATTAAGCAGGTATAGAGGTTTCACAGATAATTTTTGTTTCCTTCTTCATACTCTGTTTTCTAAATTTTCCCAAGAAACCTGTGTATGTTCTTAACATAATAACTAATATATTCATTTATTTTAATAAACAGAGCTTCTAATAAAAAACAGCAATTCCTGCCCAGCCAATTCACCTCCAGGGGCAAGCACTCTGAGCTCTTCCAGTTGATTCTTCTGGTATTTACCTCCCTCTTTCTACATGATGTGCACACATTGTTATCTCTGGACTGATCGATTTTAGCAATTACCTCCTGACTTCTTGTTAGTACAGCGTGCTAGATTCAGCTCTCTGACACTATCATCCTCTGCCCACTTTCTCCCCTTCTCTCCATACAGGTAAGTCATGACTCAAAAAAATTCAAATCAATAACATCTTAAAAATTGTTATGATTATGTAATAATTACATGCATTGAGTTACTCTCTGAGCCAGTGTACTGTAGGTCCATGTCCTTTCTTGTACAAAGTTGTTTTTCCTAGAGTTAATAATTTAAAAATTGTCTCTTTTGTTTGCATAGTTTTCTAGGTTCTTGTTGATGTTTCCTAAATTCTCCAACATTTCTCAGATGCTTATCAATAATTTTTTTTTTTAATGCTCAAGCAAACTAAATAATACATCACTTCCACTTCCCTCTCTCTCCCATATCTCCCTTTCACACACCTCCCACCTTAGTCTTGTCTGGACTGGTTGTTCTCTGGGCTGTTGCTCAGCTGTGCCCTGGAATCTTCCTTTACTGCATCGCTTGTGTTGAATCTCTTCTTCCTGGATCATATATATATATATATACACACTTTGCCAGTGTTCTACTGGAAAGTTGGTACCATTTGTTTTTTCCTTTGTGACATTTTTTTCCTCTTCTTTGGAAGATTTTTGATTATCTCTGATAGTCTGCAATTTCATTATGACTTGGAATCGGTACTGGGGGGTCTCTTTAGTCTGGTGATATTCTTTGATTCTGCTAAATAGTCTTGCTTTGACTCTTTAATAGCTTCTACCCTGTTTCTCTTTGTCTTTCTGGAACTCCTATTAGTCGCCTGCAGTGGGGATTGGCATGTGGGTGGGGTCAAGTAGCTCCAGATACATAAAGAAAAGCAAGTGCAGAATCTAGGAACAAAACAGGACGTGACAGAAGTGGTTTATCCACAGATGAATACCTTGACAGTCAGGATTCATTGTAGGAAACAGAAACCTTTCTAGTTACTCTAATGGAAAGGTATTGAAGTGATGACATTGGAAGTGCCGGGTGGGTAGACACTAGAATGAACTTCCAGGATTAACTTCAAGAAAGAGAAGAACAAACTGGCCTATGGCAGGGGGTGGCCATCACTTCAGCCACAAAGAGGAGGGTGGGGAGTTGGAAGTCTCTCTGTGGACCTGTTCAGTACAATACGCTAACACAGTAGTGACTCAGGAATCAGAAGTCACGGATGTCACTATTGTGATGCCTCGTGACCCCACAGGACTAGGGACGAGACCCCGGAGTGCTGCTGCAGGCCGATCCGGCCTGTGCAACCATCCCTGCCCACTGTACGAGCTCGTGGCAGGACGACGGCCCTGCCTCACATCCCCTTTCAAATCGCATCAAGTGCATCTAATTGGCAGAACTTGTACTCAGAACCCCCACAGAACAAAAAAACAGAGAACACTGGAAAAGAGGACAAGGGCCGAGTCATCACAACCACCAGCATACATACACGCAGGGCGGTGCTGTGCATGCCAGCCATGGGATCTGCGACAGGGACGAGGGGCTGCTGCAGTGACAGCCTTGACTACAGGTGGTCAGGATTCATCATACAGAAAAACATTAAGGTCTGACGTGAATTGGATTTTTTTTTTTTTTTTTTTTTTTTTTTAGAGCAGAGAAGAGTGTTTCACTCATGTAATTTATACCTAGACTCATTCCAGCAAAGGACCGGAGGAAGAGAGAAAAGATGTGTTTGTAAAGAAAGGCAGGGGGTATTCTAGTCAGTATTAACCTATCTGTATAAAATTAGGAAATAAAAAGATTGCTCTGCCCAGTTGAAACATTTAGTATGTAGGTATGCACAAATGGTAGAGGGTCATGTAATCAAGGGTTTGGATTTGATATGGGACAATTCGCTCAGAAGTTCTGACATTTCTAACCAGCAAGAAAATGAGAGCATGTTCTCAAAATGAAATCTGTGTAAGCTTTTTTGAAAAAAACAAGGGATCCACCTGAGTCATTGACTGAGGGATGAGACAAAATATGAAATCTTCTGATAAACCAAAGAATCCAAACTTTATGAATATCTAAAGTTGAAGATGTCAACTTGAATACAGTGACCTCCTATGCTAGGAAATATACAATGTTTTAAGCTAATCGTTACAGGGTCGCCTGCGTGACTCCGTCGGTTAAGAGTCAGCCTTCCGCTCAGGTCATGATCTCAGGTTCCTGGGATTGAGCCCCGCACTGGGCTCCCTGCTCAACGGAGAGTCTGCCTCTCCATCTGCCCCTCCCCCCACTCGTGCGCTCTCTCTCTCTCTCTCTAATAAATAAAATCTTAAAAAAAAAAAAAGATAAAGGTTACAGTCCAGTCTATAACATCTCAGTTTATAAATTCAGATTTTTCTAAAGGGGCTACAGACAACCCTGCAAAGACATTTCCCTAGTTTTCTCCCTTGCATGTTTTCAGCTTCCAATATTCTCTTAATAAGTTGCTTCTAAAAGTTCCTTTGAGGGCGCCTGGGTGGCTCAGTTGGTTAAGCGACTGCCTTCGGCTCAGGTCATGATCCTGGAGTCCCGGGGCCGAGTCCTGCATTGGGCTCCCTGCTCGGTAGGGAGTCTGCTTCTCCCTCTGACCCCCCTCCTTCTCATGCTCTCTCTCATTCTCTCTCTCTCAAATAAATAAATAAAATCTTAAAAAAAAAAGTTCCTTTGATTTTCACCTCCTTCTCACACCTGCATCAACAAAAAACTCCCTTCTCAATCTGTCCATGATTCCTTTTTACTAGCAACAGCTAGTAAAACTCCTAATTAGGAGTACTTGCAGTTTCAAGGCTTTAAACAAGATTCCACTTGCCACGACCAAGTTAGAAAAGCAGGGCCTAAATATAACTAGACTGTATTTTAAATGAATATGGGCTGTTCCTGAATTTTAAGCAACTTTCACATAACTAATGTTCATATTCATTAACCAAGGCTATGTAAGTGGCATAAAAAGAAATTATAGGCTCAGATGTCCAATCTTTATGGAAGCATTCTTCAAATGAGCAGGAATAGACATTTAATGTGTTTTAGGGATCACTCAAACCTTATTTTTTAAAGGTCTACATTATATTTTACTTTCACAATTTGATGCCCCAGTAAAGCTGATTCTCAACTAGTTTTCTCAGATGATAGTGATTGACAAGTAACATCTGCACAAAATCTGTTAAAAATCATCTCCACATCTGGTAAGTTCCCTAGTGTGGAGCCCCCCAAAGCCACACAGAATTCGGTGACAGTACATGTCCTATCCTCCATTAGGGTACACAGACATCTGACTTCAGTGTCCACCCACAGAGGACAATGATGCAGAAATAGGTTAGATGGGGGGGTGGGTGGGGAAGCTACCAAGTCTTTGTTTTGTCAGTGTGGTTGGCGGCAGCCTCCGGGGCTCAGGTGGCTACTGCCGTGGCTGTGACCATCCAGTGGTCAGCGGGTTCTTGCCTGGAAGAGGTGCAGCCGACTAGAATTTCAGGTACCAGCTCCTTTCTCCAGCCAGCGCTGTTGTGTGGTTCTGAAACTTGGTCTTGGAGGCTCAGCCAGTTCTGCTTGCCCTACATTTAGTACCCTCCTTTTACTTAATCGGCTCAGCAGTTCTTAAAGTTTGTGGTCCAAGGACTCTGGGGGTCCCCAAGGCCTTTTCAGGGGATCTGTGAGATCCTCCATTTTCTAATTTTGGATCTGTGTGAAGCCAGCTTTTTTCTTCGATACACCTCAATCAAAGCAGTATCATGGGTGCTCGCTTCGGCAGCACATATACTAAAATTAGAATGATACAGAGATTAGCATGGCCCCTGCGCAAGGATGACACGCAAATTCGTGAAGCGTTCCATATTTAAAAAAAAAAAAAAAAGCAGTATCATGGGGTGCCTGGTGGCTCAGTCAGTTAAATGTCTGCCTTCGGCTCAGGTCATGATCCCAGGGTCCTGGGATCAAGCCCTATGTCGGGCTCCCTGCTCAGCGGGAAGCCTGCTTCTCCCTTTCCCTCTGCCACTCCCCCTGCTTGTGCTCGCTCACTCTCTTTCTCAAGTGATTACATAAAATCTTAAAAAAAAAAACAGCATCACAACAGATTGAATGCAGAAAAGGATATGAGAATACCGCTGCCTTCTATTAAGTTAGACATAAAAGAGGATTACAAAAATTTGAAACAATACGACTCTTAATTTTTGTTTTAGAAAAATTAGTTATTTTTCCAAAAAATGCTATTTTATGTTAACATGTAATGGGTTTGTTATGGGGTTATTTTATTATTTTATTTTTAAGATTTTATTTTTAAGTAATCTCTACACCCCAGGTGGGGCTCGAACTCATGATCCTGAAATCAACAGCTACATGCTCTACTGAGTCAGCCAGGTGCCCCAATTATGGGATTATTTTAAAATTAATTAAATATTGCTTGGTTTTCATTCCTAACATGGTAAATATCAATAGATATGACACACGTAAACACAAGTTCTTTGGGGTCCTAAACAACTAAGGGACCTCCAAAGAGTTCTAGAGTATAAAAGGGCCTTAAGACCAAAGAGTGCTGAAACAGAGTAGATTCTGTTACTTTATCTAAGAAGGTAACCTCTAATAATAGGTTGAATATTAGAGGTTACCTTGAATATTAGAGGTTACCTTTTTAATTTTCCATCCAGATTTGGGTGATCATGAGAGAAGTTGGTTTAGACAGAATACACAGTATTGCCCCCACTGAGGAGAAAAGGAGGGAGATGCAAAAGCAGCATATGTTGGAACCAAGGCCAGAGTCAATGGGAGGGTCAGGAAAGCGGTGTCTTTCTATGACTGAAAGATCTCAAGGAGGAAGACTTAGAACAAAGTCCCCAAGGGACACAGAACCAAAACCAAATACTTAACGATGATAAATATTTCTTAATATTCACATATCCCTTCCTATGCATGGATCATTCAATATTCTTTATAATTCATTCATAACAGCCAGTCCTGGTTTAGGAGGTCAGAGGCAGCTTCAGTTCCAGCAGCTGTGCAAAGGGATGCCCGCCAAAAACGCTCTTCTGGAGCCAGGAATGGCTTGAGGAAGCTTTACCTGTCCAGGAATCTTAATTACATCACTCTGTTCACTCCCCACCGGATTCCTGGTCAGTGTCTAGGTCAATGTCTGATATATGGCAAGGTCAGAGCACAACTGATCACAGAATGAATATTTGACTTGATCCATATCTCACAGAATCAGTTTAAATTTAAAAAGGTGAACACTTAGATCTCTCAAGAGTCATCTAGGAATAAAAATCCAGAAAGTGATAGCCTCATCAAAAGTAGGAAGTTCCCTTTGGTTTGGCTGGGGTGAAGTACAGTCACTTGCAATGCATTTAGTCTTCAGTCAGTTATCATTTGGAATTGTTCTCATGTGTAAATCAAATCCATCAGACTTTATGACAGGATGGCAAGGGCTCTGCTTCATTCATCACCAAATACACAGAGACTAGCAGAATATCTGAACAATCACTGATTAAATAGAATCAACTGAATGCAGGAATGAACTCGAGGCATTCTTCATTTTACTTCATAATTGATCAATCAGTATTGGTTAACAGTCCACTGCCTTGGGGCGCTTGGGTGGCTCAGTCAGTTAAGCATCTGCCTTCGGCTCAGGTCATGATCTCAGGGTCCCAGGATCAGCCCCGCGGCGGGCTTCCTGCTCAGCAGGGAGTCTGCTTCTCCCTCTCCCTCTGCCTGCTACTCCCCCTGCTTGTGCTCTCCATCTCTCTGTCAAATAAATAAATAAAATCTTTTAAAAAGTCCACTGCCATTCTTATCGCACTTGTAAAAATTACTGGCTGTTCCGAAAGTATCATTAAAATTGCTGATACATCATTAACAATTACTGTTACTAAGTTTGTTCATTGTAAGCCATACTATTCATCCAATGAACATTTGTTATTTATGTGCAGAATATGGCTTTCAGCTGGCTCTTCAAGTTTAGTAATAGGTAACAGTAGATTTTGACTCATAGTAGGTCACAGCAACTGACATCACAATAAGAAAAACGCTGGACATAATTCAATTCTACCAAAACACCTAAAATGTACAAGCTTCCACGGTACGAGCCTTCTGTATAAATGTACAACCTATAATTTCCCAGAATCCCCAAGCAATGTAAAATTTAAATGGTTAGACTATGTTGTACTAGAAAAAGCCACAAGCTTTGTGGCATTTTCTAAAAACCTGTCTGTAAGTTGTTCTTTTATAGGCTGTTCTTTTAAAACTATACACATTAGTTTGGGTTCTCTGAGAAACAAATGATAAAATGGGATTAAATGTGATTTACTGGGGAAACGTTTTGAATCATGAAGGGGACAAGTAGGCAGAGTCTGACACCTATGAAGGGAGAGAGAAGGAGAGGAGGACTGGGTAGGAAGAGTCTCAGACAGCAGTACAGTCCGAGGAAAGTACTGGGCAGGTTAATGGGGAGTCCCTGAGCCAATGTCATCCATGAGGGGAGAGGGCCAACATACTCTTTCATTGGCTGGGAACAGCCTGGAGGAAGTGTAGCCTCAGCAGGAACACAGGGGTGGATCCCATGGGGCAGCAGCTGCAGTTCTCAGTCAACTCTGCTTCCCACAGGACCAGATGTGAGTGACGCAGTTCCAGTGCTACATCTTTTGAAAGTCTTCAGGTTTTTTTGTTAATGTTTGATGGACATAAAGACCATAAATGTTTTCATGCCACCAAACTGTACCTATGTATTTGACGGCTGTCATGGAATATGTTACTATTAACAGAGGTTAAGGATTCTATTATCTTAATACAACACTTTGTTACATATTTTATATTCATTTTTGAAGTATCTAAGTTATCTCTCCTGTATCACATACCACAAACAGAGGCAAAACTATACAAAATAATTTGACATAGTACTTCTGGAATGTTAACCTAATAAAAACTTACACTAATGTGGGCTAATTGAAGGACGACTAAATTACAGAATTTTTTTTTTTTTTTTTAAGGTTTTATTTATTTATTTGACAGAGAGAGAGAGAGACAGCTAGAGAGGGAACACAAGCAGGGGGAGCGGGAGAGGGAAAAGCAGGCCTCCTGCAAAGCAGGGAGCCCGACGCGGGGCCCAGTCCCAGGACCCTGGGATCATGACCTGAGCCAAAGGCAGACGCTTAACTGACTGAGCCACCCAGGTGCCCCTACAGAATTTTTTTTTTTTCTTTTAAACTTTTTTTTTTTTTTAATTTTATTTATTTATTTGACAGAGAGAGACATAGTGAGAGCAGGAACACAAGTAGGGGGAGTGGGAGAGGGAGAAGCAGGCCTCCCGCAGAGCAGGGAGCCCGACGTGGGGCTCGATCCCAGGACCCTGGGATCATGACCTGAGCCGAAGGCAGACGCTTAATGACTGAGCCACCCAGGCGCCCCCCTACAGAATATTTTTAAAGGAATGTGGTTATTACTCAATGGCATACACAGTAACAGCCATTAGAAGAACAAATGTTGACTGAGAGAGAACCAATACCAAGACTGAATGACAAGGCCCAATTACTACACTACTTAGTTTCTGAGGAGAATACACTTTTAAGAAAGTTTATTCTCTTGTATAAATCTCCTATAATCTTCTCAAATAATATTGCTCTTGTAAATCATATCACAGCATTATCAGCTCCCTGCATTGTCTTCTACAGACCCTGCAAACCCTTTCTTCCTAAGTAATTTAAGTGTAGCCTGGGGGCTGAAGGTCCAATCTCTGGGACTGAGTAAGGCCAGAGGACAGCATAGGATGCCTTAGGTGAGCCAGCAGTCTCCATTCTTCCTTCATTCCACATCTGTAAACTGGACATGCCTTTTCCTGACCCAGTTATCCAAAGGCCACAATATAAGAGCTTCTGAGTCATCAAAACTAAGCTGGCCCATTTCATCCCCTGCTTTCCTCATATTGACCCTCTGTATCTAAATTTCATGTTTAACAATCTAGTATATATTTCAGCTCAGTTAATCCATGCAAAAAATCACTAATTTTCCAACTAATGATTTTTTAACATTATATTCATATAAAACAATTTCAGTTCAAGTATTTCAAACTTGGTTTCTTAATATTTCTCCACAGAAAGCCTAGAGCCTTGGAAAAATACATTTAAGATCGAAGGATAGCTAACACTTACACTGAGAGCCATGTGCTATGCACTGTTCCAAGTAGTTTACATGTACTTACTCACTTAAATATCTTCTCACTACCTGATAGGGTAAAACTAGCATTAACTCCAATTTACGCATGAAGATAACTGAGATGTAGAGAAGTTAAATAACTTATCCAAGATCACATGGCTAATAAGTAGCAGAGCCAGGATTTGAACCCAAGTAAACTGGCTCTGGAGTTAGATTTTCTGTTGTTACTGTGGCCTTATCAAACTATAATGTGTTACTTAACTCACATTTAAAAAGTCACTATTACCTAGCATGCAGCAATAAAAATCATTAAAACTTGTTTTATTTACATTTGCATTTTATAAGCAGCTGATTAACATAAACTGAAATGTGATGAAATGAGTTTGCAGCTCTAATCACCATTTATATACTCCAATATATTTAAATTAAATTAATGTGCTAATGTACAACTATTTCCCCTTAATTTATAGCAGCATATTTTCTTTCAAGGCATTATTTATGTTTTTAAACACATTACAGAAATTAAATGACTTAAAGGATATACAGAAAGAAAAAACTGGAAATAAATTCAGACGTACATATTCAGAAAAAGATACTGAAGTTAATAATATGTATCTTAAAAATCAATACAGCGTCCTTTTCGTTCCCAATCTCCATATCGGGTAGGTTCTGGGCCTCTAGGTCCACCTTTTTCTTTGGTAACAGGATTAATATCATCTGGAAATTCTAAAGAAAGACAGAAGATGCAAAAACAGTAGTCAATAGAGACAAGAGAGGCATTATGGCCAATTCTGAAGACAGGGTTACAGTAGATACCACTGACTAGGTTATTACTACGCAGCCTTTTAAATGAACTGTAAATGTGGTTCTTTTTCCCAAGTTTGAGAAATCACATCAGGATACAATTGTCATATTCAATGAACTTTATTACCTACATTAATTACTTAGAATTCTTGGAATGTTCTCAGGCCCCAATGTGGGAGTTAGCTGCATATATGCTGATGGATTGTAAGAGAAGGAAAGGAATGCAGGGAATACAGAGTACAAATCCATAAGGTTTGAAAGGTCTTGAAACAAGATTACTTTGGCTCAATTTCTCAGTTTTCTTATCAGTAAAATGGGTACAACAATCGTACCTGATTTAGTCTGTTGAGAATTAAACGAAGAAATGCATGTAAAGGATCTAGCTCAGTGCTGGGTACATAAGAATGATCAATTGATCAATTAATTTTAGCTAGGAGGACTCTTGCCCTTCATCATAGGGTTTTGGCTTCAGTAAATGGTTAGCTGATACTGCCATTTATGGACACAACAGATGTTACTATTAATACTGTGTGTTCATAATAAGACCATCCATCTTGAGTCAGGCCCACTTTTGAGCGCTTTATTCATAGTAACTCGTTTTGTCCTCATGATAATCCTATGGGACAAGAACAGCTATTGTCTCCATGTTATAGATGAGGAAAATGAGGCACAAAGGCGCTCCTGGTTACACCGCTACTACTGTGGTAAAACTGAGTTTGAATTCAGACATTCTGGTTGCAGTCTTATACTTAGCCCATAAACTACTGCTCTGTATATGGGAAGAGCAGGAGAGGAATCAGCTATTAGAAGGAACCCCAATTCTTAAGCTGTGTCTCTTTAGAAAGCTAAATGAACATCACCAAAATCATGTAGTCCCTCCCTAGGAAAAAGAAAATAGAGAATTTACCTTGAAAAATTTCAAATATTTATCCATTTTTAAAATTCTTTCTCTACTGTGAATAAACTCTTCCCCACTTACCATTCTGTTTTCTAAAGAACTCCATCCTTGGACTTCCTCTGAAAGCCTCTAAGGGAAGCTCTTCTGTCTCCCCTATTTCTGGGACTCACTGAGTGTCTTAGTCAACTTGGGCCACCGTAACAAACTACCCCAGACTGAGTGCCTTCAACAATAGAAATTAACTTTCTTACACTTCTAGAGGCCACGAGTCTGAGATCAGGATGCCAGCATGGCTGGGTTCCGGTGAAGACTCTCTTCCTGGCTTGCAGATGGCCCCTTCTCACTGTGTCCTCACAAGGCAGGGAGAGAAAGATTAGCTAGCTCTCTAGTGTCACTTAATGAAGGCACTAATTCCATCACGGGGCCCCAGTCTCATGACCTCATTTAAACCTAATTCTCTCTCAAAGGCCCCATCTCCAAATACCACCACTTTGGGGGTTAGGGCTTCAAATATGGATTTCAGGGAGACACAATTCAGTCCACAGCACTAGGGAAGAAAAGGTCAAGACATCCCTGTGCCTCACTTCTACTTCCAGCTTCTCATTCTCCCACCAAATCTCTATAGCCTTACCTCTTTTGAATTCCACATCATTCACTTGTCCAATGCTTTTCTCCAGTCTGGTAATCAAGACTCTTCTATCTTCTTGGATAGAATCACTACTTGGTTCACAGCTTCACCTCTCCCCATTATCCTTCCTATGAACACCCACATTAGTAACCTCACATACCGAGGACACAGAGGACCTTGGTCCTCTTTCCTAGTGGTCTTCACATCCACTTGTGACATCTGCTTCGATTTCATTATCTCCTGAATATATTCCTTCTCTAAGTCCCACACTCTTGAGCTTTCTTCTTTCTGACTGCAACCTTCTATGGAGGCTTTTCCCTCATGTTTCTTTAACCTAATTCTCACCCTCATTATAACCTGCAGTTTTCTGAAACTTTTTACTCACGCTAGTGCCACCCTGAGTTATGCTGAGTCACATTCCAGACTAATAATGTAAGAGTTTTCTAACTCTTCTGTTTTCTGACTCTCATGATTTCAGCCTAATCTGCACAGAAGGATGAATTAATCTTTCTAAAACAGAATCCCTCCTCCACATTACATTAAGTGAAAGAAGCCAGACACCAGACACAAAAGACTATGTACTGTATGATTTCATTTATATAAAATCCTAGGAAAGGCAAAATTATAGTGACAGAGAACAGATTCATCGTTGCTAGGGGTTGGGGAAATGAGACTAATTATAGAGGCACTAGGGGCTCCTTGTGGGATGGAACTGTTGTATACTTTGTGTTGGTTACATGACTATAAACATTGTTAAAATTCATCGAACTGTTTACTTAAAATGGGTGAATTTTATTATATGCAGATTATACTATAGTAAAGCCGATTAAAATAATCTCCATTCAAAAGCATTCAGAGCTTTCCTCACTGTCTACTGAGAAAGCGCATATGCTATAATCTGATCCTTCAGGCCCTCCCAGATTTGAGCCATATCTACCTCTCTGGCTTTAGATTCTATTAATGCACTATGTACACTCTATGCTGCAGCCAAACAGGCCCATTGGCCATGTCTCACAGGTATCATGTTCCCTAGCCTCTTTCTCTCTGACCACACCTTTCTCTTTTTTGAAACATCTTCCCACCATGCCTTTTTTTTTTTTTTTAAAAGATTTATTTATTTATTTGACAGAGACAGCTAGAGAGGGAACACAAGCGGGGGAGCAGGAGAGGGAGAAGCAGGCCTCCTGCAGAGCAGTGAGCCTGACGCGGGTCAGGATCATGACCTGAGCCAAAGGCAGACGCTTAACGACTGAGCCACCCAGGCGCCCCTCTCCCCACCATTCCTTAACTACTTATGATTTTATTGTGTCTTTAAACCCCAGCTCAAATGTTAGCTCTTTTCTCTATTTTTCTTCTGAACTTTTTTTGCGTATCTCTTATGCCAGTTATCACACAACATCCTATTCACAGTTTTTTTTTTTTTTTTTTTAATTTTATTTATTTGACAGAGAGAAAGAGAGTGCTCACAAACAGGGGGAGTGGCAGGGTAGAGGGAGAGGGAGAAGCAGACTCCCTGCTGAGCAGGGAGCCCGACCCGGGGCTTGATCCCAGGACCCTGGGATCATGACCTGAGCCGAAGGCAGACGCTTAACCGACTGAGCCACCCACGTGCCCCTTCAGTTATTTTTATATCTCATTTTCCTTATTCATCCTTGCATCAAACAGAGTGCTCAGCTGCAAACAATCTTCCTTTATTATCTTTTTTTTTTTTTAAAGATTTTATTTATTTATTTGAGAGAGAGAGAATGAGAGAGAGCACATGAGAGGGGTTAGGGTCAGAGGGAGAAGTAGACTCCCTGCCGAGCAGTGAGCCCAATGCGGGACTCAATCCAGGGACTCCAGGATCATGACCTGAGCCGAAGGCAGTCGCTTAACCAACTGAGCCACCCAGGCGCCCTTCCTTTATTATCTTAATAATGAAGTCTACTCTCTGCAAAGGGACAACCTATACACTTTTCTTAGAATGACATATGTACCAGAGGCAGGGAGACAAGCCTAGAAGGAAGGAAACAAGGAAGACAGACCAACAGAATCATAGATGCTTGAATTTGGGCTTTATTGGTAGGATGGATAAGAGGAGATGAGTTGACAAATGTTAAGGAGGTGGTATCAACAATGGCCAATGAGCTCTCTTCACTAGGAGCCAGGACACAGGAAGAAACAGGAGTGAAGAACTATCCCCAGATTTCTGAACCTCTGCTTTTGGGCAGAGGTAGAAGAGCTTAAAAAAAACAGGAAGAAACAGGAGTGAAGAACTATCCCCAGATTTCTGAACCTCTGCTTTTGGGCAGAGGTAGAAGAGCTTAAAAAAAAAAGTTCAGGAATAAATGGTTCAAGGAATAGGAGGAGGAACTGGACAAAGCATAACCAAAACCAAGACAGGAGATTTCCAGAAGCAATGGTTAACAACACCGAAGCTTATAGACAGTTCCTATAAAATGAGGATTGAAAAGCACTTGCTGGGTTTGGTGATGTTTACTAGACCAGCTCCTAAGAGATGGTATGTTCAACATAAATTTCAGTGATTCAAAAGTGATGATGAATACCTAGCATTGTGTCAAACAGATGATTACCTTTTGAAATGTACTTTTTTCTTTTATTAAATATATGTAATATTTATCATTTTAACCATTTGTAAGTATACAATTCAGTGGCATTAACTACATTCTCAGTGGTCTGTAACCATTACACTATCTCTATACCCCAAAGTTTTTCATCATCCTCAATATAAACTCTGTACCCATTAAACAAAAACTTTCCTTTTCCCCGCCCCCTCAAGACTTTGATAACCTCTATTCTACCTTGTCTCTATGAATTTGCCTACTCTAGGTACATAATTTAAGTGGAATCATATTTGTCCCTCTGTGTCTAGCTTATTTCACTAAGCATAATGTTTTCAAGGTCCATCTACATTTGAGCACAACCAAAATGCCATTCCTTTTTATGACTGAGTAATATTCCACACACCACATTTTGTTTATCCATTTATCTATTGATGGACATCTGAGTTGTTTCTTTTGGCTACTGTGAATAAAGCTGCTATGAACACAGGTATACAGATATATGCTCAAGTCCCTGCTTTCAATTTTTTTGGATATATACCTAGGAGTAGAATTGCTGGGTTCTATATCTGACTTTTTTGAGAAACTGCCAAACTGTTTTCCAGAGTAGTTGCATCATTTTACATTCCCACCAGAAACACAGGATGGTCCCAATTTCTCCACATTGTTGCCACCACTTATTTTCCAGTTTTTCTTAAATTGTAGCCATCCTAGTTGGTGTGAAGTGGTGTCTCACTGTGGTTTTGATTTGTAAGGAATGTGATGTTAAGCACCTTCTCAGGTGCTTGTTAGTCATTTGTGTATCTTTGGAGAAATGTATATTCAAGTCATTTGTCCATTTTTGAATTGAGTTGTTTTTGTGGGGTTGTAGGAGTTTTCTACATACTCTTGATATTCTTTGTCAGATATATGATCTACAAATATTTTCCACCATTCCGTAGGTTTCCTTTTTGCTTTCTTGATAATGTCCGATGTCCAAAATTTATTAATTTTGATAATGTCCAATTTACATACTTTTGTGTTTGCTGTCTATGCTTTTGGTGTCATAACCATAAAACGGCTGTCAAAATCAATCATGAAGATTTTTCTCAGTGTTTTCATCTAAGAATTTTATAGTTTTAGCTCTTAATTTTAGGTTTTTGACATATTTAGAGTTAATTTTTATATATGGTGTAAGGGTCCAATTTCATTCTTTGCATGTGGATATCCAGTTTTCCCAGCACCACGTATAGAAAAAACTGTCTTTTCCACCACTGAATGATCTTGGCAACCTTCTCAAAAGCCAATTGAGCATATATGTGAGGGTTTACTTCTGGGATTGCTACTTTTGTGTATGATGTTTTAATGAAAAATTTCCTCTTAGATTTTTGTGCTTGGCTAAAACTATGAAAGAAGAATTTTACCTTTAGATTATGCTTTTTAAAAGTCTCCATCATTTTGGCTGACTGATTGATCTGGTTATTAGACTGGGCTTAATAAAGTGCTATAAACTGAAATATTTAACTGAATGAACAAAAAGAAAAGCTTTTATATTCTAAAGAGCTCCAGATACAGGTCCCTGTATCCTCTGTTGGTATCTTCTTGCCTAGGATGCTTCACTACATAGATGGGTTAACTCTCAGGAGACAAGCAGGGGAGGCATGCCAAAATTTCAGACTGGTATGTTTACATTTACGCTATCTAAAATCATATTTTTTGAATAGCTAATACTTGCACATGTTCCACAATTCAAAGGTACAAAAGAGTATAGAATGAAAAAAAGTAGCACTTTAACAGAGCTTTAAGACATGAACCAAATTTTGTATGTACTAAATACAAAACAATGTTTAGTCTATTATCCCACCACCCTCAAAAAACCTCCTTCTCCAAACTTCCCCTTCTCTTTCTCCAACCACATGGCTATGGTGAGAATAACCACCTTCACCTGTGACCCACCCCACTGGCCACTCAGATTGATTTAGCTATAGACACCTGCTCTAAGCTTGGCCAATGAGCTCTCTTCATAAGAAATTTGGAATTAGGGGCGTCTGGGTGGCTCAGCTGGTTGAGTGACCAACTCTTGGTTTTGGCTCAGGTTGTGATCTCAGGGTCCTGGGATGTAGCCCCGCCTCAGGCTCCACACTCAGCAGGGAATTTGTTTAAGATTCACTTCCTCTCCCTCACCCCCACCCAGTGTGCTCTCACTCTCTCATATAAATAATAAATCTTAAAAAAAAAAAAATTTGGAATTAGAACTAAACAATTGTATTTTCAGTCTAGTTGCTCTATTGACCTGAGTAGCAGCAAGGAGCAGTTCCTTCCACCCAGTGGACTTAGAAGGGAGTCTGATGACAGAAAACAATGAAGAGAAGACCAGGGACAAGAGGAGGAGGAAGAATATCCTGGTTTCCATACAGTGTTTACTCCCAAGGTCCATTTTTTTCCAAGGCCCAGAAGCATCATTGCCCTGCGGTACCACACCTGTGTACCTTGTAGCCCAGTAACAACCTGAACTACCTTTTGTTTAAGTCTGCTCAAGTGGTTTTCAAGTTATTTGCATCAAAACAGATCTCAAATCATATACTTTGTCATGTGAATAATGGGGTATAGTAAATAAAACAAACACAGTCAATCACTGTGAGGCGTTTGGAAATTATTTTTTCTAAACCTACCCAAAGTGACGGTCAGTGTGGTAGTTTATTCATTGTGCAATATGCTTTATTATTGTTGATAAAGAATTATAAACAATAACATGTTTCTTTCATTCTTTTTTCTCAATAACTAAAATACTTTCTTTGACACTTCAAAAATTAAGAGCTTTATTTTATGCTTCACAGATACTGCATTTTTTTTTTTTTTACAAATTGTGGCATCCCTATTATGAGCAAGTCTATTGGTGCCATTTTTCCAAATAGCATTTGCTCACTTTGTGTTTCTGTGTCATATTTCGGTAATTCTCACAATATTTCAAACTTTTTCATTATTATTACATTTATTATGGTGCTCTGTGATCAGTGATCTTTGATATTACTACTGTAATTGTTTTGGAGCATTAGGAAACAAACATATAAAACAGTTAACTGATAAATGTTGCATGTGCTCAGACTGCTCCACTAAACAGTCGTTCCCTTGTCTTTCCCCCTCTTTGAACCTCTCTACTCCCTGGAACAAAACAATACTGAAATTAGGCCAATTAATATCCCTACAATGGCCTCTAAGTGTTCAAGTGAAAGGAAGAGTCACATGTCTCTCACTTTAAATCTAAAAGCTAGACATGATTAAGCTTAATGTGGAAGGCACGCTGAAAGCCGAGATAGGCCAAAGCTAGGCCTCTTACAACAACCAGTTAGCCAAATTCTGCAGGCAAAGGAAAAGTTTTTTTTTTTTTTTAAAGATTTTATTTATTCATTTGAGAGAGAGAGAGAATGAGAGAGAGCACATGAGAGGGGGGAGGGGCAGAGGGAGAAGCAGACTCCCCGCCGAGCAGGGAGCCCGATGCGGGACTCGATCCTGGGACTCCAGGATCATGACCTGAGCCGAAGGCAGTCGCTCAACCAACTGAGCCACCCAGGCGCCCCGAAGGAAAAGTTCTTGAAGGAAATGAAAAGCGCTACTTCAGTGAATGCACAAACGATAAGAAAGCAAACAGCCTTATTGCTGATATGGAGAAAGAAGACATCTCCATAACATCAAAGAGCACAAGGTGAAGCAGCAGGTGCTAATGTAGAAGCTGCAGCAAGTTATCCAGATCTAGCTGAGATAAGTAATGAAGGTGACTACATTGAACAACAGGTTTTTCGATGTGGATGGAACAGCCTTCTATTGGAAAAAGGACGTTCATAGCTGGGAGTAGAAGTCAATGCCTGGCTACAGTGCTTCAAAGAACAGGCTCACTCTCCTATTAGGGGCTAATGCAGCTGGTGACTTTAAGTTGAAGCCAGTGTTCATTTACCATTCCCTAAATCCTAGGACACTTAAGAATTATCCTAGGGCGCCTGGGTGGCTCAGTGGTTGAGTGTCTGCCTTCGGCTAGGGTCATGATCCCAGAGTCCTGGGATCGAGCCCCACATCGGGCTCCCTGCTCGGCGGGAAGCCTGCTTCTTCCTCTCCCACTCCCCCTGCTTGTGTTCCCTCTCTCGCTGTCTCTCTCTCTCTCTCTCAAAATAAATAAAATCTTTAAAAAAAAAAAAAAAAAAGAATTATCCTAAATCTACCCTGCCTGTGCTCCATAAATGGAACAACAAAGCCTGGATGACAGCACATCTGTTCACAGCATGGTTTACTGAGTATTTTAAGCCCACTGATGAGACCTGCTGCTCAGAAAAAAAGATTCCTTTCAAAATATGATTGCTCACTGACAATGCACCTGGTCCCCCAAGAGCTCTGATGGAAATGTTCAATGAGGTTAATGTTTTCATGCCTGCTAACACAACATCCATTCTGCAGCCCGTGGATCAAGGAGTCATTCGAATTTCAAGTCTTATTATTTAAGAAATACATTTTGTAAGGCTGGAGCTGCCATAGGTAATGATTCCTCTGATGATTCAGACAAAGTAAATTGAAAACCTTCTGGAAAGGATTCACCATTTTGATGCCATGAAGAGCATGTGTGATTCATGGGAAGAGGTCAGAATATCAACATTAAAAGGAATTTGGAAGAAGTTGATTCTAACCCTCAGGGATGACTTTGAGGAGTTCAAGACTTCAGTGGAGGAAGTAACTGCAGATGTGGACATAGCAAGAGAACTAGAACCAGAAGTGGAGCCTGAAGATGTGACTAAATTACTGCATTCTCTTGGTAGAACTTCAACAGATGAGCACTTGCGTCTTATGGATGAGGAAAGAGTGGTTTTGTGAGATGGAATCTACTCCTGTTGAAGATACTGTGAAGACTGTTCAAATGACAACAAAGGGTACAGACTATTACACAAACTTAGTTGACAAAGAAGTGGCAAGGTTTGAGAGGACTGACCCCAATTTTGAAAGAAGTTCTACTGTGGGTAAAATGCTACCAAACAGCATCTCATGCTACAGAGAAGTCTTTCATGAAAGGAATAAATCAATGTGGCGAACTTCATTGTTGTTCTATTTTGAGAAATTGTTATAGCAAGCACCACCCTGATCAGTCAGCAGCCATTAACACTGAGGTAAGTCCCTCCATCAGAAAAACATTATGACTCACTGAAAGCTCAGATGATGGTTAGTATTTTTTAGCAATAAAGTATTTTAAATTAAGGTATGTATACATTGTTTTTTAAGACACAGTGCTATTGCACACTTTACAGTCTGCGGTATAGTGTAAACGTAACTTTTATACATACTAGGAAGCCAAAAATAGTTATTTGACTTACTTTACCGCCGTATTTGTTTTACTGCAGCGGTCTGGAACCAAACCTGTAATATCTGTGAGGTATGCCCACACTCACTTGTCAGTGGTTCTTTCTCTAAATTAGAATCTTCGGGTGCATCAAAACGACCTTCTGGTAACTTTGGCTTCTTAAGAGATTGTTTGATGGGTTTGGATTTTTCTCCTTGAGAACTCATTTTCCTCACAGAATGACATAAAAGGGGTGATCCTGGAGAGTGGAGAGAGGGAAAAATTAGGAGCTGTTCTTTTATTCTACTTTAAAAAGTTAACAGTTTTGTTTTTAGTTTATACATTCACATTTATCAAAGTACAAAAAGTACAAAAGGACATACAGTGAAAATTCTTCCCTCTATCTTCCAGACAGGCACTTCCCTTCCTCAGAGGCAACCAATATTATCAGTTTAAAAAGAAGAGCTTTAAAATAAATTAGTTAACCATTATCAAAATTGTAAAAATTTATACATAAAATACTGATTCCTGTGTGAAGCAATGCCCCAAATACCAGAAATGAGATGACTAAGTGTTACTAAGTAGTACAAAGTTTTAAGGACAATATTTATTATTTAAATTACAAGAGATTGTTATTTAGTATTCTTATATTTGAATCCCAAATCGTGATTCTCTTTTCCTGCCAATTAAACATTTAAAAAATGTATCGGGTATTTACAACATATAAATGAGATCACTTTCTCCATAGATTATATAGAGAAAGCTAAATTTCCTAAACTGCTATGAAAGTTATCCAACCCTTGTTAAGATCATGTACAATAAGTGCAAAACCACCCTGAAAAAAATGACTTCAGAGTTGGGTTTTGAATTTCCTAAAAGGAATGGCTTTAGAGGCAGACAGAGTTGGGGACCAGTTCCAGTTATACTACTGTGGTAAGCGGAATAATGGCTTCCAAAGATGATCGGAACCTCATACCCAGAACCTGTGAAGAGGTCAGGCTCCATGGTAAAGGAGAATTTAGGCAGCAGTTTGAATTGAGGTTGCTAATCAGATGACCTTAGACTAGAACAATTACCTTGGGCTATCTGTGTGGATCCACTGTAATCACAAGAATCCTTAAAAGGGGAAGAGACAATTGGAAGAGAGAACCAGAGGGATGACAGCATCAGAAAGCCTTAATGGATGCTGCTGGCTTTGAAGATGGAGGAAAGGAATTTCAGCAGCCTCTAGAAGTTGGAAAAGGGAAGAGATTCTCCCCCTAGAGCATCCAGAAGAACACTAATACTTTGATTTCAGTCCAGAGATTTCTCATCCATTTCAGACTTCTCCCCACTAAGTTTGTGACAACTGGTTACAGCAGTAGTAGGAAACTAACAGTTGTTTGACCTTTGTCAAGTGACTTACCCTTTCTAACTCTGTTTCCTCCCTTCTAAATTGAAGGTAACAGTACCTATCTCATGAGTTACTAAATACATTAAACAAGACAATTCATGCAAAGCTTTTACTACTGTAATAAATTTTATCTAATATTATCATCATAGTATTATCTGCAAGCTCTTGGTAGCATTACATATAATTAGAATTTTCTTTTATTACATGTATTTTATTCATATTCTAGCTAACACTACATCACCCTACCATCTGCTTTAAAAAATTATATATAGGGGTGCCTGGCTGGCTCAGTCAGTTGCGACTATCGATCTCGGGGTTGTGAGTTCGAGCCCCATGTTGGGTACAGAAATTACTTAAAAATTATATATATACACACACCCATACATACACACACAAATATATATGCACATAACTATTTGTACATATATATATATATATGTTTTTATACATACACACCCTCCACAGCCAACTTGGAATTTATGTAAGACTTGTTTGTAAGATTACATAAAGTTAACATTACATACAAACTGTATTAACAATTTTGAAATAGTACACCAGGCTGTTCATTTGCATATCTACTGCATATAGCTCAGGGAGTAGCAAAATTCTTGTTTGAATGACCAATTAGAATACAAACTACCATTCTCCCACAGATCCAAGAGCCCATAAAACATGAGGATTAAAAAATACATAACTGAATGTTTTAATAAAGCTATGACAATGATCTACAGAATTAATGTAGTTTTCTCCCATCTACATGCTCACTTATATAGAATACTTCATATTTGTGATAAAAATTTCTATACACATTAAAATAAAAAGTTACTTATTTAAAATTTTTACTTACTTATTGATTTACAGTACAGACCATTTTGCCTTCAAACTCCCACTTCAATATCTAAGGACATATTGTATTTTTTCTTATGTCCTCAAAATAATATTTAAACATATACTAAAAGGCTAAAGAGAAAAACCTGCAATAATGTCTTATAAGGCAGCATTTATTTTTATTTAAGAAATGGAAAATACAGAAATAAGAGTTTCTGATTATATTAATATATTTCATATAACAATCTGATCTTGGTTTATTCTGTTTAAAAAATATATTGAAAATTTTGGTGAACATAAACCATGCTCAATTGAAAGATATTTCCAGTCCAAATCACGTGATTTTTGTTAATTAGTCACTTCTTATCGGAAGTATAGGATTCTTTAGAATGTGACATCAATATATCCCAATTTAGGAAGTTTAGCCAACCTCCACAATAGACACTTCTGTTCATTAATGCCCAACTATCTATCCATCAACAAATCACAAATTTATAAAGCATGAAAGGTTGTTTCTAAGTCATGATAATTCAGTAATAATTAATATGGATATACGGAAAGAATTTTAATAGTTACAAATTAGATTCTAAATGTAGACAGATTTTTCATCTATTCCAGCTAATGTCTAGATTCTGCATCTGGTTACTAACAAGTCTGTCTTACTGTACATCAAATAACTCACTTTGAAGCCTAAAAATCAGCCAAGTATTTAACAGATACCAGTAGCCACCTGCTACTAGGCACTCAGACTCGACTCAATACAATAAATTAGCACTTTCAGTTTTAGGTTTGGTTGTTTTGCAAATCAAAAAAAAAAATCTCTTAACTCAAAGCTTGAAATGATATTCAGTGTAAAAATTAAACTTGGTATGTTCCAAATCTGTAGAGATTCCTAAGCATTTACACAAAATCATAAAAATGGCACAAAATAGTCTCGACTACCAATTATAATGCAGACAAAATCTGAAGCTAAAAATTTTGCCTCTTAAATGATGCATATATATGTGTTAGATGTCTGCTATGTGCCAGGCTCTGTACTAGGGGCTGAAAACATGACACCTCATTAAACCTCACAATAATCCAATGGGGCAGGTCTAACGGTCTTTAATTTACAGTAAGTCTGTTCAATTTGAACAAAATGATTTTCTGAAAAAGTGACATTAGGTAGGTGTGGTGGAACTGTCTCAAGTAGCCACTTTTCCCTTCTTCCATTTGGTTCTAGGATTCCCACTCCCACCTCATTTGCTATTAAGCTAAGCACCAGGTCACTTGCTTAGAGATGACATTTCCCAGCCTCCCCTGCAACCAAGCAGCCACGTGTCCAAGTGGTGATCAATGGGTTGTGACTGGAAGTGATGTGTGCAAATTTTAAGTTGCCTCACTTTTGCAACAAGCTGATTGCCCTGGATTTCTTTTCCCATTTCCTTGGGTTATAATACAGACATGGCAGTGACCCAGCTTTAACCACGCAGATGTGGACAAAACCCAGGGCGAGGTGACACGTAAAATATTTAATAACTTGTATGATATAGACAGTGCCCATTCAGAACCTATGTCCAACCATTCAGAAGAGACACAGGTTGTAAATAACTACTAAAAACTCAACTCTTGTACATGGGGCTGATCAGCGGCACTGCCCTACACATGGTGGAGCAACAGGATGAAAAGAACACGGACTTGGATGGAAAGGAACTCTGTCAAAGCAGAGTTGTCCTCCCCGTCTCATCAGCAGAATTGTTACAGCAGCTTGGCCCTTTCCTTCAGTAATACAAGGGACAAGTGAAAAAAAAAAACTTGCAAACTAAGGGCACTAGAATCACACATGGGTTCCAATGCCACATTTAGCAATGTGACTGACCCTAAGAAGGTTACTGTATCTCACTGAGTCTGTATCCCCCCCAGAATGGGGGTACTTCTACTTACCTTGCAGGCTAGCTCAGAGAAATGAAGTAATGTGTATGTCTCTATGTGCACACTCTGAATGGAATAATAACTTCAGCTTAACGGTAGGACACGGAAATCATTGTGCAAAAGGGTTTTTGGAAAAGAATAGGAATATGAGTGTACTGTGGGAAAGAGAGAGGACCAGCAAAGGAGCAGTTTGAGAAACCAGTCCATAGGTCTGGCCTTGAGTACTTCTGAAGGAACTTTATTGTAGAAAAAAAGGTTACAAGGAAAAGTTAAAAGACCAGTATTCTCAAAGGACTCTGAGACCATGGAGGTCTAAACAGAACTATTTTTATAGACAGGTAACAGTGTGACAGAATGGGGAGGAGGAGAATTCCTCTCATTTCTGTACCGTACAAGATAAGACAGGGGACACTGTGCCCTTTGGCACCCACACGCTTTATAGCTTTGGAAACAAGTCCGTGCACAGCCACCTGGCAGGGTGGTGGCAGGGAGGCACATACAGGTAGCCTGAAGGCAGGTAAAAAGGGTCTGTCAGATCATAGGATTAGCAAACGTGTGAAGGGGAGCCCCAGAGTCACTCCTGTGGATTCTGCCTATCAACCAGTAGGTACTAAGCAACAGTAATTATAGCTGACCCTTGAACAACACAGGTCTGAACTGCACAGACCCACTTATACATGGATTTTTTTTTTTTTTTTAAGATTTTATTTATTTATTTGACAGGGAGAGAGATAGCCAGAGAGGGAACACAAGCAGGGGGAGTGGGAGAGGGAGAAGCAGGCTTCCCGCTGAGCAGGGAGCCCGATGCGGGGCTCAATCCCAGGACCCTGGGAACATGACCTGAGCCGAAGGCAGACGCTTAACGACTGAGCCACCCAGGCGCCCCATATACATGGATTTTTTACAGTACAGTACTGTAAATGTATTTTCTCTTATGATTTTTTTTTTTTAAAGATTTTATTATTTATTTGACAGAGAAAGACACAGCGAGAGAGGGAACACAAACGGGGAGTGGGAGAGGGAGAAGCAGACTCCCTGCCGAGCAGGGAGCCCGATGCGGGACTCGATCCCGGGACTCCAGGATCATGACCTGAGCCGAAGGCAGTCGCTTAACCAACTGAGCCACC